GCTGTGGCTCAAGTGGTAGAGTGCTAGCCTTGAGCTGAAGAGCTGAGGGACAGCGTCCAGGCCCAGAGTTCAGGCCCCACAACTGGACCAAAAAAAAAAAGTGATTTAGCCCTTTTGCATTTTGTTTCTGCAGTTTGAAGAAAACAGGTCTGGAACAAGGTCTTATCCCCGGCTGCCTCTGAACAGTGGGACTGCCAGATCTTCAGACATCAAATTCAGCTTTGTCTGCCAATCTGTCTGACATGTCGGGACCCGTGCCAAGCAGGGCCAGAGTTTACACAGATGTTAATACGCACAGACCCCGAGAGTACTGGGATTACGAGTCACATGTGGTGGAATGGGGGTAATTTTTCCATTTGTTCACTGTAATCACCTAAAGAGCTGAGTCTTAGGGATTTGAGGAATATATGTTCATAAACCTTGACAGTGCTTCTTTCTACCTCAAGTTTGTAGCCCAACCTGGTTTCTTCTTTTTAGCTGCAAGTTTGGTGCTGTAGAGAAAAGCAGAATATTGCTTTGACAGGTTGACAGTTTTGATGGGCTTACCATTTAAAAGTCATTCAATGTCTTTTCCTTTTCTTTGCCTCTTAAGCTAAAAGCATTGTAGGTAAGTGAGAATTCATACTTGAGAGACTTGAAAAACACTGAGCTCTTACATAAAGTATTTTTGAGGTCAGAAAAAGTTTTCCCATAGTAATAGTAAAGATTGAAACAGTTCTCCAGAAAAGTGTCCTCTTTGATGAGAAACAACATTAAATCCTTAGACATCTGCCCTTATCATGAGACTAGGCATGTTTAACTTGGAATACACCTCACATTTCAACTTTGCCTGGACAAGCTACATTTGTCCTCCTAATTTTCTGTGTAGCCCATTTGAATGTTTATATTTCATTTCCCAGTGTACTGTTCATTTAATTGATGAGATCATACTTTTTTTGTGTTACAAGCATTTTAATGATGTTAAAGTGCAAAAGAAAGCAATTTGAAGACCCAAAAGATATAACAGGGGCCACACATAGTGGTACACTCAATAAGAACTTGAATTCTAGGCCAGCCTGGGCTACATAGCAAGACCCTATCTCAAAAAGAATTTGCACACACTATACATCTGATAACATGATTTCTATAGCCTGTATGTAGACTGTCTCCCTCAACTGCCATGGGGCTTATTTTTTCATCCATGTCTTAACAATAAGTACTTTGTCTCTGCATATAGACACACTGTGCTTTAAAGAGGATATAAGGAATTATGATACAATACTAGTAAATGTTATCACTATCAATAATCTTAACAATTGCCCTATGTCACAGACTTTGGACTCTAGGTAGTATGCATGTTCTATGATAGAAATCCCAACTGCTACCTTCAGTTTGAATGCTTCACACTTAGCTCTGCTTAAATGGCATTAGATAACCCACCTTTTTTTTTTTTTTAAAGTGTAGTGTCTTTTACTTTCTTGGGTTTGTTTGGCATGCCCTTCCACAGTAGGATCTGCCAAGGCCTGGATCAAGTGGTAGGATGCCAGACAGGATTGAATGAGTCAAGTGAGAGCATGAGGCCCTGTGTTCAAGCCCCAGTACCAGCACTACCACCACCACCCTCCAGAAAAATAAAAGCAACAGCAACAACAAAAAATCTGCCAAAGCCAGGCCTTGGTGGCTTATGCCTGTAATCCTAGCTGAGTACTCAGGAGATTAAAATCTGAAGATTGCAGTTCAAAGGGAGCCCTAGCAGGAAAGTCCCTGAGACTATTATCTCCAATTAACTACCTCAAGCCCGAAGTAGAGCTGTGGCTCAAAGTGATAGAATGCTAGCCTTGAGCAAAAGAGCTCAGGGACAGCTTGGAGACCCTGAGTTCAAGTCGTAGGAACAATACCCCTGCCTAAGTATAGTGAATTGTAACATTCTTAAAACATGTCAACATATGTTAGTTTCTACTAAGTGCTAAAATTGGACCAGACAATATAGGACAAAAATGTATCAAAATTATTTTCTTTTAAAAAAAGCATTATATTTGTTGGTTTCAAGTATATATAACAAATGTTATGGTTTATTTTTTTGAGGGGGAGGGTCAGTCGTGGGGCCTGAACTCTGGGCTTGGGTGCGGTACCTCAGCTCTACAGCTGGAGACTAGCACTCTACCACTTGAGCCTCAGCCCCACTTCCGGCTTTTTCTACTTACGTGGTGTTGAAGAATAGAACCGAGGGCCTCATGCATGCAAGGCAAGCACTCTACCACTGAGGCACCTTCCCTGCCCCAACAAATGTTAATATAAGCTAACTGGTGTGTTATAAAGCTTTGAAGAAATAATTGTAAGGCTTAAGAATTTCTATTTCTAGGGTTTGACATACGCATTTATAATTGGCTCTTTTTTTAAAACTACAAGAAGCCATTCAGAATGCCTCATTATGTTATTCTGGTTTTTCAAGTATGTTTGTTAGGCCAGTGCTTTATCACTTGAGCTACATCCCCAGCTGGTAATAGTTTTTTATAAGTTAAATTGGGGCTTGATACCATGGAGGTTTTAAATCAATGTGATCTTGACTTTTTGTTCACAGCAATCAAGATGACTACCAGCTTGTTCGAAAATTAGGCAGAGGTAAATACAGTGAAGTATTTGAAGCTATCAACATCACAAATAATGAAAAGGTTGTTGTTAAAATTCTCAAGGTGAGTAGAAGAGAGAAAATTTTAGAGGATTTGATATGTAGGGTTTAAAAACTAATATAAATGACTTTTTTTTATAGAACTAGCTTGAAAGGTTGTTGGAGTACTTTAGCCCTTTATTACATCTTCTGAAGTCAATAAAGCAAATGATACTTTTTTTGTGTGTGTGTGCCTATCCTGGGTCTTGAACTCAAGACCTGAATGTTCTCCCTGAGATTTTTTGCTCAAGGATAGCGCTCTACCACTTGAGCCACAGCTCTGCTTCCATCTTTTTAATGGTTATTTAGTTGGAGATAAGCGTCTCATAAACTTTACTGCTCAGGCTCACTTTAAACCGTAATCCTCAGATTTCAACCTCCTGAGTAACTAGTAGCTAGGATTTATAAGCATGATTACTGCCACTGGTTCCCAGCAGACAAATCAAGAATTAGAAGTGATTTGAGAGCTAGAAGTGATTTCACTCAAGTCATCATTAGGTTGTAGCAGGGGACAGCAATAAAAGGTACAGTTGCATCTCTCCTAAGCTTGCTCTAGTGTTCATTTTATGTACTTTGAGTTATAGTTTATGCCTTTATTTTCAACAACAACAATCATTTGTATTTTGTAAGGATGAAGTATCACAAATATAGGCTTTAAGAGGGCAAGCATATGTCAATGTAGCTAGCATGATATGACTGCTCACCCTTAGATGATATGAGTAATAGGGAAGAACTGAGGTAAACTGGGAAGCATGTATTTCTTCAGAAGGAGGTAGATGTTTCTCAGCTCCATTGGGTCTTGTCCTGTAGTAGAGCAAGTCCGGTGTTGCTTGATAGTCTTACTTTGCAAAGAGAAGCCAGAAATTCATATTTGTATACGCATTCTGATGTATAAATATGGGGTTAAGATTTTTTTTTAACACTGCACAGATTACATTTGGCAAATGTGCTACCACTGTGTAACTTGTAATTAGTATTGTTTACTGCTTCCTGTCATATACTGTATGTTTAGCTCATTGTTTCTTACCACGAAAATTTCTCCATTGACACAAAGAAGCAGAATTTCCCACTTTTATTAATTTATAGCACTTTTATTGTCTCAGTAAGACACAATAGAAAAAACACCACCTAATAGTTCTATATATTAAGTAGCTAGATGCAGGCAACTATTTGTTTAGCAGCTTAATAGCCATTTAACAAGTTCAATATAATCATTAAAAGTAAAAATAATTGTGTTAACTATAGTTGCCATTGGCATATCTGCAACTACTGAGCTACTGCATAGCTTTTCACATGTTGGAATGAGATTAGATACTGATTTTGATTTCCTAGTCCACATTGATGGCTTGTACAGTACTTGCTTTTTATCATGTCAACTGCTGAAAACCAAAGCTCACAAAATTGGATCCTCAAAAGGAATATAGTACTAAAATGCCATGTTGAAATCATGAACTGCTCTATGCTGGTAGTGTTAGTGTTTGGCAGGTTTCAAGTATTGATTGTTGAGTTTGTCCCCAAAATTTAAACTGTCTCACCATGCCCAAAAATTTTAAGTGTTTATATCTCTCTTATAACATCTAGAAAGAAAACTAGACTGGAAATCAAAACAATTGTCTTTTAAATCCAGATCCTAATACAATCAGTTAACCATGGTGAAAGTAGAGATGATCTTGCCTTATATACGAAACTGTTGGAAAGTGCAATTCTTAGTAAATGCAGTTCTTAGTAAATGGAAAGGTATGTGACAAAAAGAAATCACCTATTTAGCCCCCCACACAAGACACAAATACGGGTACAATGGTTCACAATAGGGTAAAAGTAGAGGAAGTTTCCTATTCCTGGTTTCAGGCTGAATGGGAAGAGAGTTTGTATAGGTCAATTAGGGGTAGGGAACCACACTCTAGAGTACACCAAGGAAAGAAGACAGAAAGAAATAATTGAGCAAAGTGTTTGATGTTAACTCGGAAAGGCGGATTAAATGGTAAAGTCCTAGAAAAGAAAATCTATATTTCCATCCAGTCACAAAATTTATATGGTTTTAACTCTTCTATGTAGATGAAAACCATTGATGATTTTGAATGAAGAGTTATTTAGAAATATTTTTCTAAGCTCATTTTAAATTGGAATATATGTATATTATAAACTGTAAAGACAGATTATTTATAGATGAAGATCCTTCATAAACTATAAAGTTTTTTTAAATCTCCCTATTTGTCTGGTAAGACAAAAGTTAAAATGATCATTATTAAATTAGGGTATACGTCACCTACTAAGTCTGTCATGAATCAGCTTTACATAAATTTTCCATCCGAAGGATTCTTTAGAGTAATTTAATAATACCTTTTGTCATAAAGCAACTATTGGGAAATACTGAAATAGTGGAGAACAGGAAGTAGATTGTGGGTTAGTCTCTGGATGGGGAAATAGTCCTCTCTACGTAGGCTACCTGATCAAAGAGAATCTGAATAGTTGAGGCAAGAAAATAAATAAGTACTATTTAGTGGTACACACCTGTAATCTCAGCTATGCAAGAAGCGGAGGTGGGAGGATCACTGTCCAAGCCAGCCTGACAAAAGCATATGACCTTGTCTAAAAAAATGAAAGGAATAGGGTCAGGTGCTGGTGACTCACACCTGTAATCCTAGCTACTCAATAGTCTGAGGTCTGGAGAATTATGGTTCAAGGTCAGTCTAGATGGATAAGTTCACTAGACTTCTCCATAATAACTAGCAAAAAGCAGGGCTAGAGTTACAACTCAAGTGGTCCTTGCCTAGCAAGCACAGGACTCTGAATTCAGCCCCAAATTCTGCAACAAAAAGAAGAGAAGCTGATCCCATGCCTCCCAGCCAGTCAGTGTACTTACTTCTAATAGAAGTAAGGGTAAGAAACTATGGAATGAATTGAGTGTCAACTATGCAGAAGTCATTATTATTAAAGTACTTTCCATTTATTGTCTTTTTCATTGGGATTTATTCTGTGTTGTAGTAATAACTTTTGAGTGAACTATAAGTCCCTTTTCAGCAGTGATTAAAAATTTAAATACTCTCAGGACTACATATATAGCTACAAAGCTATGGTATGGAGGACTTTCCAAAATAGCTTCATGCCATACTGTGTATTTAGTAATAAGACAAAAGTTAAAGGAGTTCATATACCTGGACCTGGATCATCACCTTGGGAACCAGGAACCATCTAAAAATTCAGTTTCATAAGATTCTAATTTAGTATGTGTAGGTGAGTTTTGTAAATGTGTATATTTAAAAATCAGGTGATAGTTGATCATCAAAGTTTAGTAACCACTAATATTGTTAATAGATATGAGATCCTTAAAACAATTTTGAAGAATTGTATGTAGTGCATTAGCAAGCAAGTTTTGAGGTGATTAGCACCCTAGAAAGATATGCAAGGTCCAATGTAGCAGACACAGGCCTTGTGTGGCTATTGAGCATTTGAAATATGGTTGTGCTTAATTGAGATATAACAATAAAATATTCTAAACTTCAAAGGTTAGTACCCCCAAAAAAGATATGAAATAGATAATTAGTGGTCTTTTGTGTTGATTTATGTGTTGAAATCATAAGACTTTAAATGAGTTAAATATATTATTCGAATAACTTCTATCTATCTTTTTTTATGTGATTAGTATAACATTTAAAAGTCATTAAAGTCAGAGTGGTTTCTGTTGTATTTCTTTGAGCCAGTGCTGTTTTAGACTATGCAGAAGAAAGTTTTGTGAAGGAAGCACAGTTGGACCAAGGCCCTCAGAAAAATATAAAGGATTTCTACACCAAAACAGATAGAAAGGATGGGTGAGGGCAAAGAACTATGGAGAAATATTCTCAGGAATCTACAGAACACTATTTTTGAGTGGAGGAATTTATTTGCAAGAGTATTGATAATAAGATTAGACAGATACTATATGTAATTTCCCAGACATACTCATCTTTTGAGGTACCCTATTTGATTTCTTACTGTATGTAGTCTTAACTTTGAGAAGTTTTATATGTTTTCCATGGGTATAGCTTGCAGGTTAAAGGTAGGGTTTGCAATAGGCAATTGTCTTGAAGGCCTCAGTTTACCCACTGGTTATCTTGCACAAACAACTCTTCTTTCTGTATACCCTTAACTATCCTGACTTTGTGTAGGGCTGTAGAGTTATAGTATTCTGGTTGATAAAATGCCTTTTTAAAAGAGGCGTTTTGGTAGTCCTCTTCTAGATGCTAGTTTGTAAGGTTTGAAGCATAACTGTTAATTGAAATTGTTAATTATTTGGACGGCTCATCTTTGGAATGGAAGTATTTTTTTTTCCTTTTAGTTAAACTTTTTAAGTACCAAGTACTTGCAGAGAACCTGGCATAGTACTAGCAGAAAGGGATTCTGAGATAAGTCTGTCACATTCCTTCCTTCCTAGAGTTCATAAGTAAGCCATTTATGTATTGTACTACCTGTTGAAAAAAAATCTGGAGTAATGTTTTTCACTGATACATTTTTACCCTTTCAGCCAGTAAAAAAGAAGAAAATTAAGCGTGAAATAAAAATTTTGGAGAATTTGCGAGGTGGTCCCAACATCATTACCCTGGCAGACATTGTAAAAGACCCTGTGGTGAGTATAGTAGGCATTAGCAAGGCCCCCCAGGGCTGAGGTGGTGTTAAACACAGAGCACAACTGGCCTGTTTTCTTTCCCATCCCCTTCACTAAGGACTGCTTTAAAAGTACTTAATCAGATATACGTTTTAACTAGCTTAGGTCTTTCTTTCAAAGAGACCTCCACCCACAGACTATTTCTTATTCTTCTAGGCTAAGAGACTGATAGCACTGGAAACTGAAATGTGTTAATCCATTTTGCAAACTCAGGTCCGATGCTGATGGGCGATGGGCGCATTGTCGGGCTGCCTAGAGCCTGGTGAGACTTCAGCTCCATGTCTTCTGTTTGAAATCCATCCCCAAAATGACCTCTTAAGTGTGGTGATGAGAAGCGGGGTGGGCTGTTAGCAGTAGAGGGTTTCTGGCTTCTGAGGCGAGGACTACCAGACTCACCTTGCAGCATCCACAAGCATTGTGTTCACAAAGCCATCAGGAATATTACTAATGAGTTTTCTTTTTCTTTCCCCTAGTCACGAACCCCTGCCTTGGTTTTTGAACACGTAAACAACACAGACTTCAAGGTATAATGTATAGCCAATCATTTCAAGCTGTTGAGTCTTTAGACTACATAGAAAGTCTTTTGAGGATAACAGTTGAAGAGCTTGCTTTTTCACTTGTTCTGATTCTAAAAGAGCTTAATACTGCTAAATAGAAACATAGAAACACTTGTATACAAGTAGTACCCACTTGCACATCTGGTACTTTGTCCTTTTGTTTGTTTTGTGCTCTGTAGTGACCACCACATTTATATCTCATTACCTTTGTCATGGATTTAACAACTTTTGCTCATATCCAGCTTGATGAAAAAGCAACAGTACACGTTTACTCCACAGCTGGCCTTAGTGTTAAATGTTTTAAGGCAATATTATTCAAGAAGGAATGTATTGTGTATATTATAGTAGGGAACTGGATATTCCTTAGGATTACTCAGTGCTGAGCTTGAACCAAGACATCACAGTTCTACACAATAGGTAACAACTTTCATCACTGAGCCCCTTGGGCTGTTCATTTTCAGGGATAGGGAAAGTTGATGTCAAACTCTGCTATAACTACAACCTCTATGACAGATATGTCTGAGTTACAGATTTTCAAACAATTCAAACCTCTACCATAACAGAAGAATGTGTCACTCTCTTGGAGTACATGTTATAGGTATTTGTACAAGTCCATTGTCAAGAATGTTATATAGCAAATGAGTGATTGAGTGAATTCTTCCATTGAAAAGAAATAAAAAGAGGAACTAAACTCTGCAACTTTTTGGAAATTGAAAAGATTACATATAACAGCTCTTCACAGAATTTGCTCTCAGCTTGGGACGGGAATAGTTCTTCTAATTGGCTTAACAGGTTTGGCATCATATTATCTACAAACTTGCTAATGATCTGTAGTTCTAACTATGTAACCCAAAGTGAGTTAGTTATTCACTAAGGAGGCTATCTTTGCCACAGTGCTTTTTATGAGAAAGTCAGAAGGTAAATGAAAAGCAAATATATTTCACAATACATACATAGATACGCATATATATTAGGTATGTTACCCACTAGATATAGCCTCAGCACTATGAGTTTAAGTATTCATTTTTACACATAGAGTTAAATACAAACTGTTTTCTTTAAAGTAAATGTTATATTGCAGAAATGGAAGTGACTAGAAAGATTTTGGAACCTTGGCAAATTATTCAAATCTTTGTTTGCATTATTATGAATGAGATGAAAAATTATCTGTATTATTTTATGACTCAACTGTTGCATTTGTCTTCAACAGCAATTGTACCAGACACTAACAGACTATGATATTCGATTTTATATGTATGAAATTCTGAAGGTAAGTTACTTCAAATATTAAATATCTTTAAACTGGTCTTAGATTTATTAAATAGTTCAACTGATGGTAGGAAGGCAAAGATTGGGCCTCTACATAGTTTTTTTTTTTTAATTATTAAGTAGTTGTACAAAGAGGTTACAATTTCTTTTTTTGGGGGGGGTGGTCCGGTCGTGGGGCCTGAACTCTGGGCTTGGGCACTGTCCCTCAGCTCTTCAGCTCAAGGCTAGCGCTCTAACACTTGAGCCACAGCGCCACTTCCGGCTTTTTTCTTATGTGGTGCTGAGGAATCGAACCCAGGGCCTCAGGCATGTAAGGCAAGCGCTCTACCACTGAGCCACCTTCCCAGCCCAGAGGTTACAATTTCTTAAGTCAGGTTATAAGTATAATGCTTCTTGATCAATATCACACCTTCCATTGTTGTCTCCCCCACCTCCATTTTCCCCATCCTCATCCCTACCCTCAAGTTATATAGTTCAATTTTTATAGAATATACATAATATAATGACGACATTTGCTCATTCTTCCTTCATTCACATGCGCTCCCTACAATGTTCTTTTCCTAAAACACGTTTCTACTCCTGGTATTCATTTTGGTAAATAGCGCATTAGGTGTTCAGAGGAGTTACACCTTCGGACTCTTCCCCTAAGAATACCAGTCAGTCAGTCAGTCAGTCAGTGTGTGTGTGTGTGTGTGTGTGTGTGTGTGTGTGTCTGTCTGTCTGTCTGTATATGTTATGCATGTTTGTATTTTAGATCTAGTGTCCACATGTGAGCAAAATGTACCATTTGTCTGAGTCTGACTTAACAATTCTTTCTAGGTCCATCCATGTCCCTGCAAATAATATAATATGCTTCTAAGAAATAAGAAAATTCCATTGTATATATGCACCACATTTTCTTAATCTACTCATCTTATGTAGGGCATCTGGGCTGTTTCTATAACTACATAGAAGTGTTTTTTCTTTTAACAAATTGATAATATTAGAAACTTTGGATTAATGTAATGCTTTTAGGACTGTACTTAGAGAACTGAGAATGAAAATTGTCAAAACTTGTTAAAAAAAAAAAAAGCAAAACCCTGGTATGCTGGATTAACTTTTGATAGTTTATTTTACTTAAGATTCAACAAGTAAAATAGTAAGCTTTAATTTGGCCTTCAAGGGATCATTGTTCTAAGACTGAGTAAATATCAGTTTAAGAGTGGGATTGAGAGTAGACTTCAATTTCCCAAGTGGGATTACCACATATCTTTGTGTAGGAGAGGTTATACGTGCCGAGAGGTTTGATCATCTTCTCATTGGCTCAAGAGGCCTTATAGCAAGCAGGCCTTCAAAGAGTTACAGATAGCTTGCCTCACCCTGTGAACTAGGAATCTAGGTTGCCCTTCTGGAAGGACAGGAACTTGGCTAATGACTAAAAAGCAGGGATTAGCAAACCCAAAGGTTATGTCACTCAGATCACCTTGGTTTGAGGTTGGAAACTTTCCAGATTGAATTATCTGATCTATTTCAGGGGTTGGTAAGATTCTTTAAAGAGCAAATAATAAATATTTTAGGCTTTGGGAGTTTCATAATTACATCACATCTGGTATAATATGAAAGCACTTTATTATGCACGATACACAAACAATAGCCTATGTGCTGATAAAGAATTATTTACAAAACCAAGTGGACATCAGGCCAGATTTGGTTCATGGGCCATACCATACTTTGCCAGTTGCTGTTGTAGACTTAGATGCTAAAGAAATTACTCTTCTAGGGCTGGGAAGGTGGCTCAATGGTAGAGCGCTTGCCTTGCATGCATGAGACCCTGGGTTCGATTCCTCAGCACCACATAAGCAGGGAAAAAAAAAGCCAGAAGTGGTGCTATGGCTCAAGTGGTAGAGTGCTAGCCTTGAGCTGAAGAGCTGAGGGGCAGTACCCAGGCCCCAGAGTTCAGGCCCCATGACTGGACCCAAAAACAAACAAAAAAGCAATTGTTCTTCTAGGTGTTAGAGGCATGGTTTAACTTGTAGAGCCCCTATCTAGCAAGCTCAAGGCCTTGAGTTTAATCTCCAGTACTGCTAAGGAAGAGACTCTTACACTAGATACGGTAGCACACATCTGTAATCCTAGCTACTTGAGAGGCATAGGTAGGAGGATAGTGACCTGAGGTGCACCCAAGCAAAAAGCAGAAGACCGTATCTGAAAACCTAAGATGGAAAGGACATAGCTCAAGTAGTAGTGTGTTGATAAGGCTCAACTCAGTCCTCAGGCCCCCCCTCCAAAAAAAAAAGTTACTGTACTTCAAAATCTTTTGTGATACTTTGTGTCTGTGGAAATAATCTTAAATTTTAAATGAGATAAGATTTTGTGAGTGGTATAGTTCATGTACTTACAGAGTCATTTTGAACAGAGCGAATGTGGAAACAACTCTAAAGAACAGAACTTGAAATTCAGAGATCTGATTTTAACTGATCATGGAATTTTTTTTCTTTTTTTTTGGGGGGGGGGTCCGGTCGTGGGGCCTGAACTCTAGGCCTGAGCGCTGTCCCTCAGCTCTTCAGCTCAAGGCTAGCGCTCTACCACTTGAGCCACAGCGCCACTTCCAGCTTTTTTCTTTTTGCTTATGTGGTGCTAAGGAATCGAACCCAGGGCCTCTTGCATGCAAGGCAAGCGCTCTACCACTGAGCCAACTTCCCAGCCCCCTGATCATGGAATTCTAAACTGTGGCTGAATAATACTTGTGGGAATGACTTCCTAGTCCTGATTTCTAGCGATGTTTTGAGAATGAAGGAAAATTACATGGAAGAAAAAGTAAAGGAGTATAATCACTCTTATGCACTTTTATGTTTTGCTTTTATTTTGAGAAAAGGTCTAGCTGTATAGCTCAGGCTGGATTCAAAAACATGATTCTCCTGTCTCAGACTGCTGGTGGTGGGATTCCAGATGTGCACCAGTACCAACCATTTCCGTGTTTGAAGGTTTACTCTTTTCTTTATTTCCTATTCCTCCCACAGGCCCTGGATTATTGTCATAGCATGGGAATTATGCACAGAGATGTGAAGCCCCATAATGTCATGATTGATCATGAGCACAGAAAGGTAAAGTGATAGACAAATTTTATCTTTCCAGCCGGGCACTGGTGGCTCACGCCTGTAATCCTAGCTACTCAGGAGGCTGAGATCTGAGGATTGCGGCTGGGGCAGGAAAGTCCGTGAGACTCTTATCTCCAATAAATCACTAGAAAACCGGAAGTGGCGCTGTGGCTCAAGCCATGTAGCACTCACCTTGAGCTGAAGAGCGCAAGGACAGTGCCCAAGCCCAGAGTTAAAGCCCAACGACCAACAAAAACAGAAAGGAAGGAAGGAAGGAAAGAAAGAGAAAGAAGGAAGGGAGGAAAGAAGGAAAGAAAGAAAGAAACTGGCAAAGCCAGTGGCTTGCTTACCTCCAATTAAATACCATAAAGCTAGAAGTGGAGCTGTGGCTCAAGTGGTAGAGTGCTAGCCTTGAACAAAAAATGCTCAGGGACACTGCCCAGGCCCTGATGAATTCAAGCCACAGGACAGAAACAAACAAACAAAAAGACATAAAATAAGAATGCCTTTTCCAAAATAGATTAAGATAACTGTCAAGCTAAGGAATTGATATTTATACTTAAGGTTACAGGTAACAAAGGGGCTTTGGTAAGAGTGACTTAGGTAGCATTTTTTGCAGAGTGCTCTAATGCAGAATGGGAGAAGTTGAGAGGGGGAAAAAAGGGTTGCTCATGGTTTCTCTTGCTTGTTCTCTCTTCCTTTCAGCTACGGCTAATAGATTGGGGTTTGGCTGAGTTTTACCATCCTGGCCAAGAATATAATGTCCGAGTTGCTTCTCGATACTTCAAAGGTCCTGAGCTACTTGTAGACTATCAGGTAAGAAGAGAAGGGCAAGAATTTCAGTCCTAGGTTTATTCTGCACATCATTTACAAAAATCTCACTTTTTTTGCCAGGCGCCAGTGGCTCACCCCTGTAACCCTACCTACTCAAGAGCCTGAGATCTGAGGATCGAGGTTCAAAGCCAACCTGGGCAGGAAAGTCCATGAAACTTACCTCTAGTAAAGCACAAGAAAACCAGAAGTGGGGCCAGGAAGGTGGCTCAGTGGTAGAGCACTTGCCATGCATGCATGAGGCCCTGGGTTAAATTCCTCAGCACCACATAAGCAAAAAGAAAAAAGCCAGAAGTGGTGCTGTGGCTCAAGTGGTAGAGCACTAGCCTTGAGCTGAAGAGCTGAGGGACAGCGCCCAGGCCCAGAGTTCAGGCCCCATAACCGGACCCAAAAAAAAAAAACCAGAAAACCAGAAGTGGCACTATAGCTCAAGTGGTAGAACGCTAGCCTTGAGCTGAAGAGCTTGAGGGCCAGCACTCAGGTCCAGAGTTCAAGGCCCATGACCAACAAAAAAAAATTACACTTTTTTTTTTGTAAGCCATTATGTATATCCATAGCTTTTCCTTTTCTGCAATGTATAGCAGATAAATCACCTCAGTTCACCTCCAGAAGTTATGTTGTTTTTGTTGTCATGCCAATAGTATATGACAGATCTGCATTTGATGATGTTAAAGAAGTGTACCTAATAAGTTTTATTGTACTCAATAACTCCAGAATTGAGAGTTGTAAGCTAATGTTTAAAGAACATTAAGAGCGGACCAGGTGCCGGTGGCTCACACCGGTAATCCCACCTACTCGGGAGGCTGAGATATAAGGATCACGGTTCAAAGCCAGCCTGGGCAGGAAAGTCCAGGAGACTCTTTCTCCAATAAACCACCAGAAAACCAGAAGTAGTGCTGTGGCTCAAGTGGTAAAAGTGCTCGCCTTGAGCTGAAGAGCTGAGGGACAACACCCAGGCCCTGAGTTCAAGCCCCAGGATTGGCCCAAAAAAAACAAGCTAGGTACTAGTAGCTTACACCTGTAATCCTAGCTACTAAGAAGGCTGAGATCTGGAGGATTATTGCCATTTCAAGCCAGCTCAGTCAGAAAGTCCCTGAGACTACATCTTCAATTAACTAGTAAAAATCTGGGCTTGGAAGCATGGTTTGCATGGTAGAGTGCCAGATGGGCAAGCATGAAGACTGCATGAAGACCTGAATTCAAGTTCTGATATTGGCACAAAGAAAGATCAACGCAAGCTGGAGATGTAGCAGAAGTTCTGTATATCTAGCAAGCTAAAGGCCCCACATTCAACCATCAGTACTACCAAAAAAGAAAAAATCCAGGCATATTGATACACACCTGTAATCTCAGCAATTGAGAGGTTATGGCAGGAGGATCACAAGTTTGAAGCTAGCATCCTTAAGCATACAGTTTACACTCCATCTTCCTATGTTTATATTTTTGTTTTTTTCTGGTCAGTCATGGGGCTTGAATTCTGGGCTTGGGCACTGTCCCTGAGCTCTTCAGCTCAAGGCAAGCACTCTACCACTTGAGCCACAGTGCCACTTCCTGTTTTCTGGTGGTTAATTGGAGATAAGAGTCTCACAGACTTTCCTACCTGGGCTGGCTTTGAACCTCGATCCTCGGATCTCAGCCTCCTGAGTAGCTTGGATTATAGGCATGAACCACTTGCATCTGCCTTCCTATGTTGTTTAATCTGATACCTTAAAAATGTTTCAAGCTGGGCACCAGTGGCTCGTTCCTGTAATCCTAGCTACTCGGGAGGCTAAGATCCAAGGATCACAGTTCATAGCCAGCCTGGACAGGAAAGTACATGAGACTTTTATCTGTACTTAACTACCAAAAAAAAGCCAAAAGTAGAGCTGTGACTTAGTGGTAGAGCATTAGCCTTGAACAAAAAGAAGCTCAGGAACAGCACTCGAGCCCTGAATTGAAGCCCCAGGGCCAGCAAACACACAAAAAAAGTTTCATATCTTGACCTAAGAATTCCAATTTTGGATTCTAAACAATGTAGTCCTGAGTTCATAAAAACTGTTAATTTAAGGAGTGACTCAAGTGGTAGAGCGTCAACCTTGAGCAAGCAGGCTATGAGTGGCACTAAGTTCAAATGCATAAAAAAAGAGCTTTTGCATAAAAATATAAAACTATTTCTTACATTGTGATATAAAACACTATCATCAGTGAAATTAAAGATTAGATTCTGAAACTGTTAGTAATAGAACAGTGGTATACATAAAAGGCTTTATAACAAGTGGAATTTTGTTTTGTTTTGTTTTGGTTAGTCATGGGGCCTGAACTCTGGGCCTGGGCGCTGTCCCTCACCTCTTCAGCTCAAGGCTAGCCCTCTACCACTTGAGCCACAGTGTCACTTTCCAGCTTTTTTTGTTTATGTGGTCCTCAGGAATCAAACCCAGGGCATCATGCATGCAATGCAAGCACTATACCACTGAGCCATCTTCCCAGCCCCACAAGTGGGGATTTTCTTGTAAGTGAAATAAGCAATAAAAATAGTGTGTACAGTTTGTTTAAACTAGATGAAAGAATATATAGAAAAGATGGAAAAGAAATACATGAAAATGTTACTAAATTTAGCTTTGACTTGGAGTGATTTTTTTCTTTTAAATAGAAACCTTTTTTATTTTGAAGTGGGAAGCCTACGGATTCGTGTTTAACATCTTCCTTTATTTTAATGTAGATGTATGATTATAGTTTGGATATGTGGAGCTTGGGTTGTATGCTGGCAAGTATGATCTTCCGGAAGGAGCCATTTTTCCATGGACATGACAATTATGACCAGGTGATACATATTCTTCCCTTTAAGGAACTTACTGATTTAGCATTATGATCACCAGATGTTGCCAATGCATTAGAAACTACAATGGATCTCACTAAAATGTAGGTACCTAAAGAAGGTGTGGTGGCACATTCTAAACTCCTAGCAGAAATGATATTGGAAGTTCAGTCAGCCTAGGTTTCATACAGATACCCTATCTCAAAAAGATAAAAGTGAGCCTGGTGTCAGTCACTCTTGCCTATAATCCTAGCTACTCAGGAGGCTGTGATCTGTGAGACTCTTATCTCCAGTTAACCATTCAAAAACCAGAAATGGGGCTGTAATTCTAATTGGTTTAGAACTAGCCTTGAGTAGAAGAGCTCAGGGACAGGGCCCAGGCCCTGAGTTCAAGCCCCACAGCCAACAAAAAAGAAAAGTGAAATTTAGGTGCTTGCTCCCCTTCCCACGACCTTTTCAGTATCTGACAATAGCAAATAATTCTCAAAAATTCACTATTTGTTAATCTATCTTGACATTGATCCTCAGGTGGGTATTTTGTGAATTACATGGTTTAGTGTTGGAAAATCAGGCTTTTGTGCCCCAGTCTTTTTAGTTTGTTTTGATTGCTTGTTTTACTGTGAAATATAAAATATTTTATAAAGCATTTTTTATAACGCTGGGTGCTGGTGGCTCACGCCTGTAATCCTAGCTACTCAGGAGGCTGAGATTTGAGGACCACTGTTCAAAGCCAGCCTGAGCAGGAAAGTCCGTGAGACTTTTATCTCCAATAAACCACTAGAAAACCGGAAGTGGTGCTCTGGCTCAAATGGTAGAGTGCTTGCCTTGAGCTGAAGATCGCAGGGACAGCGCCCAAGCCCAGAGTTCAAGCCCCACAACCAACAAAAAAAAAAAACATTTTGTATAAGCCAGGCTCCAGTGGCTCATGCCTGTAATCCTAGCTACTCTGGAGGCTGAGATCTGAGGTTGTGGTTCGAAGTCAGCCCAGGCAAGAAAGTCTGTTGAGACTCTTATCTCCAATTAACCAGAAAACTGGAAGAAGTGGCACTGTGGCTCAATTGATAGAGCATTCATTTTGAGCTGAAGAGCTGAAAAGCAGTGCCCAGACCCAGAGTTCAAGCCCCACGACCAACCAACCAAAAATTTTTTTTTGGTATAGACTGCCATGTAGATTAAAAAATGGGCTAGGGGCTGGGAATGTGGCTTAGTAGTAGAGTGTTTGCCTAGCATGCATAGAGCCCTGGGTTTGATTCCTCAGCACCACATACACAGCAAAAACTGGAATTGGCACTGTGGCTCAATTGGTAGAGCGCTAACCTTGAGCACAGAGAGGCTCAAGGACAGTGCCCAGGCCCTGAATTCAAGATCCAGGACTGGCAAAAAGAAAAAAAGAAGAAAAAAAAGCCAAAGCTGGGTGCAGGTGACTTACACCTGTAATCCTAGCTACTCATGAGGCTGCAATCTGAGGATATCAGTTCAAAGCCAGCCTGGACAGGAAAGTCCATGGGACTCTTACCTCTAGTTAACCACCAAAAAACCGGAAGTGGTACTGTAGCTCAAGTGATAGAGTGCTAGCCTTGAGCTGAAGAGCTGAGAGAAGCATCCAGGCTCAGAGTTCAAGCCTCACACTAGCACCACCAACAACAACAAAAATAGGCCAAGTATTCATGAATCGTGCTTATAATTCTAGCCATTCAGGGTGCTAAGATCTGTTTGCTAGGCTGGTGCTGTACCACTAAAGCCCAACTCAAGTGGTTTTGTTGTTGTTGTTATTGTTTGAGGGAGAGGGGTTTTCAGTGCTGGGGCTTGGACTCAGGGCCTGGGCAACTGTCCCTGAACTTCTTTTGCTCAAGGCCAGCACTCTACCACTTGAGCCACAGAGCCACTTGGAGTTTTTTCTGCTTATGTGTTACTGAGGAATCAAACCAAGGGCTTTGTACATGCTAGGTAGGCAAGCACTCTACCACTAAGCCTCATCCCCAGTCCTCACACTGATTCTTACTGGTTATTTTTAGATGGAGTCTCTTACTTTTCTACCTAATCTGGCTTTGAACATTGGTCCTCTAGATCTCAGCCTTCTGAAAAATTAGGATTACAAGTATGTGCCACAAGTGTCTGGCTACAGTGACCATTTTTAAAGAATCCAGAAATATCACTTGAAATTAGTACACTGGACTCAGAAATACAGAAAAATAGTTTATAGACTATTTGTAAGGGAATCAAACATAAGGCAATAAATTATAGTCATTAACTATAGACATGTAATAAACTGTCAAAGGTGCTGGTGAGATTCTGAGTTCTTTGAGACTGTTAGAGGACATTTTCAAGGGAAAAGAATTAAGCTATAAAGCAGTTTATTTTTCTAACATTTAGACATTGAACCGATTTAAGGAACTTTATGTGAAAATGCACTACTTCCACATGCTGAAATTTGAAGTTTTAACCATAGGTGTTTTACCAGGCACTTGTGACTTCTGTAATCCTCACTACTCAGGAGGCTGAGATCTGAGGATGATGGTTCAAAGCCATCCTGAGCAGAAATGTCCATGAGACTCTTCTACAATTAACAACCACAAAGCTGGAAATAGAGTTGTTGCCCAAGTGTTAAAACTCTAGCCTTGTGCACAAAAGCTCAGGCTCAATGCCCAGGCCCTGAGTTCAAGCCCCAGGACTACCACCATAAGAAGAAAGTCATTAGATGTTAACATTCATACCGGTAGTATGTTCAGTTATGATTAATTGTTGACTTGATTTTATAATTATACTTGTCTCTTCAATACTAGTTGGTGAGGATAGCCAAGGTTCTGGGGACAGAAGATTTATATGACTATATTGACAAGTACAACATTGAATTAGATCCACGTTTCAATGATATCTTGGGCAGGTAAGCTATAAAACAAAAACTGGTGCATCTGTGACTTAGCACTTTGGGTTTGAAATGGCACTTTGGACTGTCAACTCAGATTGGGGCCTAGTTCATGTGGCAAAATCTGAATTGAAACCATATCACCAGAAGAGGGAAAATAAGGAGTCTAGTTATGTTCTCTTCACCAATAATGCCAAGATGTCTGGTCTGGTATTTCAGGACACTAAACTAAGTAGATCTGTGATGAAAGAAATGGATTGGGCTGGGAACAGTGGCTCATGCCTCTAATCCCACTGATTTAGGAGGAAAGAGATAGGAAAGGCAAAGAACAAGTATGTGGTGGGTAGTTGGAGGTATGGCTTAATTGCCTTACTAGCAAGCACAAGATCCCCACCCCTCGCCAAATAAAAATGATTGAATGGCTGTTTTCAGAATTTACTTAGAGGGGCTGGGAAGGTGGCTCACTGGTAAAGCGCTTGCCTTGCATGCTTGAGGCCCTGGGTTCGATTCCTCAGCAGCCATAAGCAAAAAACAAGCCGGAAGAGGTGATGTGGCTCAAGTGGTAGAGCGCTAGCCTTGAGCTGTAGAGCTGAGGGGCAGCGCCCAGGCTCAGAGTTCAGGCCCACGACTGGACCCAAAATAAAAACCAAAACAGAATTTACTTAGAGGAGACCAAGTGTGAGACTTATAGTAAAATTTGTAATCGATTATGGTCAGCTAGTTCCTGTGGGCTCTACTTAGAAGGGTTACAGTTGTGTCAAAACCAAAATCTCTCTTGATTTAGCTTGCTTCCTTAAAGGACAGAACCCTATCCAAGAGAAAGAAAGACTGATGTTCTGACTCTGGTGCTAGTGACTGGACATTGCTAATATACTAGTTACTTAGCAGGAGTTGACAGAATTACATTACTCTGATTAACTTTTGCCTGCCAGCCAAGTACTTAGGGAAAATAGAAATGTGGTGGTGGGTGGCAGAGGCCTGCTTAGCTCAGACACTGGACCCTCCTTCCTGCACCTCAGAGTAACCTGTAGTACAGGTCTTAAAACAGAGAAGACCCAGGATTCTCTGTTCTGCAGCACTGCAATTTTCAGCTCAAAACACGCACGTGTGTGTGTGTGTGTGTGTGTGTGTGTGTGTATGTGTGTATTCTTTGTTCTGCAGCACTGCAATTTTCAGCTCAAAACACGCACGTGTGTGTGTGTGTGTGTGTGTCTGTGTCCGTGTCCGTGTCCTCCATACAAGGTAGAATGATACAAGATTGCTAAGCTGTCAGCCAATGGGGAAGATGTAGGAATAAGATTTGGAGCTCATTGTCAATGTGAGCCATTTCTCGTTTTTCCTTTTGCCCTTGCAGACACTCTCGTAAGCGATGGGAACGCTTTGTCCACAGTGAAAACCAGCACCTTGTTAGCCCTGAAGCCTTGGATTTTCTAGACAAGCTGCTGCGATATGACCACCAATCACGGCTCACTGCAAGAGAAGCCATGGAACATCCCTATTTCTGTGAGTCCAGTTGTACAAGTTCTCCCACCACTGCTCTGGAGACTGACTGTATGAGGCCAGGACGAAGATAGGCTAGGAAATGGGCTCTGGGCCTAAAGTAGTATGCATCCAGTTCCTATTAGGTCACTTCAGTGTTACTCACCTACTCAAGCCTGTTTTTTTCAGATAAGGACATTTTGTTGGGTAGAAAAATAGTTGAGAGGATTCTTGGCTACAGGTGTCCTATCTGTGTCCTATGATAATCATTTATTGGAGAGACCCAGTGTGTCTGCATATGGTAATGTTGTATAAGCACCTTGCTAAAGCTTTGTGAGTGTAACTAACTGTTCACCTTAAGGGAAATGCCACTTGGACTCCCTGAAGCCTCAGGTGCTCACCTCAACCTTGGACTGTTTCAAGGGCAATGCCAGAATAGTTTTAGAGCAAATGTTATTTCTTGCCCAATCTCCAGTTATTGAAGCAGACAGGCTGATTGAGATAGAGAGTAAAGTCTGTCATACCACTAACCCTCTCAGACCTATAGCTTTGTCCTGTTGGGCACTGTCCTGATCAGATGATCTGAGAACCACTAAAACTGGTTCATTCGGATATTAAGTATTGTCTCCATTAAAGCCCAACCTTACCAGCCTCATTTTTTACCTCATCTTCCTACCACTTGATCTCAGAGTTGGTCTTCCCACAATTGGATAGGAAAGGTATGTGTAAGGTACGTGTAATTAAAGGTGAAGGCAGTTGCCACTGTATGTCCCAGGAATATGGAATATAAGCCAAATGAAAAGTAACTACTCTAGGGCTGGGAAGGTGGCTCAGTGGTAGAGCACTTGCCTTGCATGCATGAGGCCCTGGGTTCGATTCTTCAGCACCACATAAGCAAAAAGAAAAAAGCCAGAAGTGGCGCTGTGGCTCAAGTGGTAGAGCGCTAGCCTTAAGCTGAAGAGCTGAGGGACAGCGCCCAGGCCCAGAGTTCAGGCCCCACGACCAGACCCAAAAAAAAAAAAAGAAAAGGAAAGGAAAGTAACTACTCTAAAGGACCATCCCCCTTAGTCCCTTACCCCAACCTTTTTGTCTCTTTTCTAGACACTGTTGTAAAGGACCAGGCTCGAATGAGTTCTTCTAGCATACCAGGAGGCAGTACACCTGTCAGCAGCGCCAATATGATGTCAGGTTGGTAGATTGGTAGATTGCTTTAAGAACACATGGGTAGCTGGGAATGTGGCTTAGTGATAGAGTGTTTGCCTAGCATGCATGAAGCCCTGTGTTTGATTCTTCAGTACATCATAAACAGAAAAGGCCAGAAATAGCATTGTGGCTCAAGTGCTAGAATGCTAGCCTTGAACAAAAGAAGTTCAAAGGCAGTGCTCAGACCCTGAGTTCAAGCCCCAGGACTGGCAAAAAAAAAAAGAACATGTAGATGACCATTGCTCTTCCTATTTTTATACCCTCATTATGGCTGATTTCTTAAGTACCTTCTCTTCTCTATAGGATATCCCTTAGTGACATAGTGACCTGTATGGATTTTCTATATTTCAAGGTGCTTTTAACACTGTAATATTTTAGTGACACTGTCTTGAGTAGAGTATCAACAATCCCTTAAGAAACTTAAAAGTTTCTTGCAAAGGAACTTGAAGTTCCAACAAGCCATGAATAATAAAGAGGTCCTTTCCTCAGCTTAAAGAAGCAAGAGTTATATGACCCTCAGAAACATTACAACACTGAAGTGTAGAAGCATGGAACCATACCTGAGCAAAAAAGAAGTCCTCAGGAGCTGGGTGCTGGTGGCTTAATGCCTTGTGATCCTAGCTATTCAGGAGGCAGAGATCTGAGGAACATGGTTCCAAGCCAGCCTGGGCAGGAAAGTCCATACAACTCTTATCTCTGGTTAACCCCTAGAAAACTAGAAGTGGAGCTGTGTCTTAATGTGGTAGAGCACTAGTCTTGAGCAAAAGAGCTCAGGAACAGTGCCTAGGCCCTGAGTTCAAGCCTTACAACAACAACAAAAAAGATGTTCTCAATAGCTGTATGCAGTAGTGCAGAGGCCTGTCATCTGCAGTGACACAGGGAGGCACAGTAGCTAGCAGAATTACATTCCAGACATAAAATGAGTACCTACCTTGAAAATAACCAAAGCAGGCTAGGCACCAGTAATCCTAGCTGCCTATAGTCCTAGCTGCTCAGGAGGTCTAAGGATTGCACTTTAAAGTCAACCTGTGCAGAAAAACCTAAGAGACTTCAGTTAACCACCAAGAAGTCAGAAGTGGAGCTGTGGCACTACCTTGAGCAGAAAAGCTCAGGAACAGTGCCTAAGCCCTGAGTTCAAGCCCCAAGACTGTCACAAAAAATATAAATATAAAAAGAGGTACAAAAATGGATTGAAGGTGCCAGCCTAGCAAGCTCAAGTCCTGAGTTCAATCCCCAGTACACCATCCCCCAACAAAAAGAAGGAGGACTGTTATATGACCTATTACACACACACACACACACACAAGAAATTAAGCTAACAAGGTAATTGTAGTAAAGAGGTAGAAGAAACCAAATGGAAGTGATTCTAAAATATAATTTTAGTCTGGTGCTATTTAAATCATTATCATGGTTTAAAACAAGCCAGGGCAAAAAATGTCGACACTCCATCTCATAAAATAACCAACTGAGGGGCTGGGAATGTGGCTTAGTGGTAAGTGCTTGGCATGAAGCCCTGGGTTCAATTCCTCAGTACCACATACATAGAAAAAGCTAGGAGTGGTGCTGTGGCTCAAGTGGTAGAGTGCTAGCCTTGAGCAAAAAAAGCTCAGGGACAGTGCCCAGGCCCTGAGTTCAAGCCCTAGGACTGGCAAATAACCAACCAACTGAGCCAGATGCCGGTCGTTTGTATCTGTAATCCTAGGTACTCAGAAGGTTGAGATCTGAAGACCACAGTTCAAGGCTAGTCTTGGCAGAAAAGTCTGTGAGACTCTTATCTCCACTTAATCACAAAAATAGCTAGAAGTGGTTTTATGGCTCAAATGGTAGAACACTAGCCTTATGCAAAAAGGAGCCCAGGAACAGCACCTAGGTTGACTTCAGGCCACAGGACTAGCAAAAACAACAATAATAATCAACAAAAAGTGGGGCTAGAGATGTAGCTAAAGTTGTAGAATGCCAACCTAGCAAGCACAAAGCTTTGAATTCAAACCTGAGAACCACTGGGGGAAAAAAGCCAAAACACAATTTTAGCATACAGATGAGAAGAGCTCCTTTTCTTGCTTACGGTGATTTACTAGTTTTAACTGCTCTTGGCTGTCAAAACAAAATGGCATATAAGCACATGCACTGTATCTAAAGTCCTGTGCTGTGCAATGTGGTAGTGACTAGCTACATGTGGCTATTTAATAGAAATTAAGTAAAACTAAAAGGTTGAACCTTCTAACTTCAACCTTCTGAGAGCCAGCCTGTTGCACTTAGCTCGTTGCCACCTTTTTTCCTCTTTGTTTGGATTCAGAGAAATTTATTGGTTTCATTGGATTGTATGTGTGTGTGTGTGTGTGTGTGCGCGTGCGTGCGTGCATGCATGTGTATGTGTACGTTCGTGTGTGTGTGTGTTCAGTCAGCTTGCACATACATTTATTTATTCCTGATAATGGGCTTTCCATAGGGAAAACACTTAAATACCTCACTTGCTATAGCAACATTTCAAGTGCTCTATAGCCACACGTTGCTGCCTTTGGGGCACCATAGGAAAGCACAGAGTGCTAGCCAAAGGTTCTATAGGACTACTCCCCTAGACAGCCTTAGGATGGAATCCAAGTATAGTTGCCAGTTGCTGGCTCTGTGTCCTAAACAAACTGCTAAATTCACTAAGCTTAGATTTCTCTACCCATCTGTGAAATTCACTAGACTTGCCATTTTAACTTGATTTTGTGAGACTTACACTTGAAGTATGTTTAAGAATCTTGCCAAGCCGGGTGCTGGTGGCTCACGCCTGTAATCTTAGCTACTCAGGAGGCTGAGATCTGAGGATCGCGGTTCAAAGCCAGCCCGGGCAGGAAGACTGTGAGACTCCTATCTCCAATAAACCACCAGAAAACCAGAAGTGGCACTGTAGCTCAAGTGGTAGAGCGCTCGCCTTGAGCTGAAGAGCTGAGGGACAGTGCCCAGGCCCAGAGTTCAAGCCCCACGACCGACCAAAAAAAAAAAAAGAATCTTGCCAAGAGGAAGCCTTCAATAAAGCATTTTTATAGTGTTACTTTGAGAAACGTCCTAGGGAAAAATCTAAGGTTACCATCGTGGTATCTTTAGCTCACTGTCAGCTGTTTTCTTTCAGGGATTTCTTCAGTGCCAACCCCTTCACCCCTTGGACCTCTGGCAGGCTCACCAGTGATTGCTGCTGCCAACCCCCTTGGGATGCCCGTTCCAGCTGCTGCAGGCGCTCAGCAGTAATGGCCCAGTCTGTCTCCAGTTGCCTGAGCAGAGGTGGGGAAGTCCACTCTCTCCTTGATGCAGTCTGCGCCTGGCGGGGAGGGGTGAAACACTTCAGAAGCACCGTGTCTGAACCGTTGCTTGTGGATTTATAGTAGTTCAGTCATAAAAATATATATATAATAGGCTGATTTTTTCTTTTTCTTTTTTTTTTAACTTGAACTTTTCATAACTCAGGGGATTCCCTGAAAAATTACCTGCAGGTGGAATATTTCACGGACAATTTTTTTTCTCCCCTTCCAAATTCAGTTCTCATCACTAAAGAACAAAGATAAACCAGCCTCAATCCCAGCTGCTGCATTTGGGTGGAAATTTCTTCCCATTCCCACCATTGCTCCCCCACCATCCTACACTTTGGGGGTGTGTATCTTGTGCTCTTCTCCAGAGATGATAAAAATGTAGCTTCTCAAGGGAGGTGGGAAGAAGGAGGCAGAAAAGACCCAGTTGATCTGTAAGAGCAGGGTACTGCTAGTCGCCTCACTTGACTTCAGGAGTGCTTCAGTGTAATTGGCCTGGTTACTCTAGTAAAATGTCAAGATGTTGAAGATATACCCAAAGTGCAGACAGATCCTAAAAACTTACGTTCAGTACGAATCATGTTTTATTGACCTAGTCCTAAGCCCAGCTCACAATTTTAGTTTAGTTTAGTTCCAAATTGTGCTACCTTCCCTCCAGGCTCCCATTTTGGTCTTTTCCCTGTTCATCTCCCACCATAGTGTGTTCCATAGCTGATAGGAGAGGGAAGGGAAGTATCTTTTGACTTGGCCATTTTAAAGTCAGTTAGTTACTGAGTATAACATTGCTTTTTACAAAAGAAACATTGTCTCTATATAGGTTTCATGCTACCAACTCTTAAGAGCTGATGGGAGATGTGGCCACACTGGGTTTCATTTTAAGCTTTCTACCTTCTCTTGCTCCTGCCTTCTTCCCTCACATGCCATCCAATGAGCATGCCTGCTCCTTCACCTGGTAAATGTATCTGAGAGGCGGGAGCAGAGCCACTGTCTCCAGTGAAATGGAAATGGTAGACCTGTAATTGTGGGAAACTATCAACTCTCTTGTTACAACCCTGCCACCCCTTGCTGTGTGTATATATATAATACTTTGTCCTTCATATGTGAAAGATCCAGTGTTGGAATTCTTTGGTGTAAATAAACGTTTGGTTTTATTTATCAAGGTTAGATTTAAGTTCCCTGTGTAAAGGTCTTGCTGGGTGGGTGTCTCACATTCAAATCTGAGGGGCCTACAGCCCTGTACCATGGAGGCTTCCCAAGGCCCCAATTTTTATACACCCCTCATTTGACCATGGTACCAGGCAGGGCAGAGAGGCCTTAAAAAAAGCACCACAAGCCAAAGCGTCTCTGGGGATTAAGGATCCTTTGCCATAAACTCATTTTGTGTCTCAGCAGTGCAGGGATTGGGGAATGGGAAAAGTCGCCAGTTTTTGTGTTTGTGTGTATGTATAAAGTGGACTTTCCACTGGAATCCAACCACCTAAGTTTATCAGGTGCTTCACTGAGGAAGCCTAGTTTTTTAAGCACAATAGTAAAACCATCAGCTCTGTATTTTCTCCTGTTACTTCATTACAGTAGCTGCTTGTGGGGACTAGGAAAAAATTCTTCCAACATATTTTAAGGCCTGAAATCTTAGTTCCCCATTCTCCTACCTTTATAGATTGACCAGCCTTTCTCACCTGGCATCATAAGTAAAGGATTGTTTGGGAAGTTGAATTAAATGAACTCATCTAACTTTGTAGCCCACCTTGGCTGACAGAATCTAATGGTAGACTCTGGAGGAAGCTCAGGTCTCCTTTTATATAAGGCTTCTCATGCACAGGGAGAGCTGACTGGAAAGCATGCTGCAAGTGGCCATTTAGCAGTGACTACTTACTGGACTTGGCCCTCATGTCCTAGAATGCCGCGCACACGTGCTCGTGCAGGTTTAGTTACCATATGGGATTTGTGTAGAAGCTAAAAGCACCAATGTGCCAGCAATGCAGTTTGTAATTGCATTTGCACCAGGGTGTCATTTTAACCAGACTCTTAGGACTGATGAATTATTTCTTTTTAGGTGGAGAGAAAGGTTGTAAATTAAGACCCACTCTTAACAGCTCAGAAATGTAGGTGTGGAGCAGGGGTGGAAAGCTGCAGATAGCCAGGCCTCCTCGCACCCCTCAGACTGGCAAGGGCTGAAGGAGAATGCAGAGGACTCTGAAGTGCCACCCAAGAGCCTTTCAAAATAAACAAGTTTCAAATGCTACTTAAGGAGTCACTGCAGGAGCATGGAGACCCATTGGGTGGGGAGGGAGGGGGCAAGGGTTTACAGAGTAACAACTTGTGTGTTGTTGTAAATTACCTCATCTGTATACCTTGTATTGGACACTTTCTCGGCACTACCTGTGTCTGCATTGCCTAAATGGCAGGAAATAGATGCCAATGGAAAACAGCGGTCTTGGCAGTTACTCTGAAAGGTTTTTAAACTATTTTTTAACTTTGTTTGAAGTGCCCCCCCTTTTTTTTTTAAGTTTAAACTCAGAAGTCCCTCCTTGATTTATTGGTTGTAATTGTATTGTAATTGGTATAACTAAAACATAAGTGTGCTGGGAAGAAGTTGTGCCATGAAGGTCTATAATTTTTTTTTAAATAAAAGCATTTAAATAAATGAAATGTCCCTGTAGCCTGAGCAATTCTGCTTCTCCAACCGACAGTGTGTGTGGTAAATGGCTTCATTTTCATGTGATTTAATCGGGTTTCTGGAGGTGCCAGGGGGGATGAATTGAGTTCCCTGAGGAGCTCTGAGGTCTGGGAATTTTGACATAGAGGCGTAGTATAGCTTCACAGAGATTATCTGGAGAGCATTAGAACCTTGCCCTTGACTTTGTAGTGGTGATATTAACAACATACAGGCCAGATGGATCAATAGACAGTTGAGCCCAAGGTCTTGCACTTGCAAGTGGCACTCTGCCACTTGAGCCATGCCTCCATCCCTTTTTATTTTAATTTTCAAATATAATCTTAATGCTTTTTGCCTGGGCTGGTCTTTGGACCAAGATCCTCTTACCCATGCCACCCAAGAAAGCAGGATTATAATCATGCACTGCTGTGCCTAGCTAAGAAAATAACATGCCCCTAGTGAAATTAAAGATGCTAAAGGCTTAGTGAGTGATGATTCTGGCCAGTTTAGCAAAGTTAAATGCTGAAATGTGTTTTCTATCACCTGTGTGTAATAGGACATATGTGTCTCAGGACCTGAGCACTGTCCCTGAGCTTCTTTTAAGACTAGTACTCTACCACTTGAGCCACAGCTCCACTCGGGCTTTTTGGTAGTTTAGTGAAGATGAGAGTCACAGACTTTACTGCCCAAGCTGGCTTCAAACCACAATCCTTGTATATCAGATTCCTGAGTAGCTAGGATTATGGGCATGAGCCACTGGCACCTGGCACCAGATATTTAGGCTCTTCAAGTAAATCTAGACATACAGCAGGTGTCACTGCACATTCTGGGGTTCCATCATATGTAAACAGTTACTGGGCTACTTGTCTGGATTTAGAGTTTCTTCCATTGACAAGTAAGTACTTGGTGGACTTTATAAACCTTTGATATGGTAGGTTTAACCACTTCAGAGAAACAGTTTTAAGGAACTGTGAATGCTGAGCCAGAGCACTCTGGCTGCATTACTTTTGGATTATTTACTAAGTCTTTGTGCAATTTCACAAATGGCTGGTGCCTATAATCCTGACTACTCAGGAGGCTGAGATTGAGGATTTAGTTTAAAGCCAGTCTGTGCAAAAAAGACCGTGAAAGTATTTCTAATCAAGAAGCCTAAGTAGAGGTATGGTTCAAGTGATAGAGTGCCAGTTTAAGAATATAAATGGAGCTCCCAGTTTTCCCTTTTTCCATGCATATATCCTCTTCCTCACCACCCAAAAGGTGGTGAAAATTTGGGATAAAAAATAGTTTTATGGCCACGTACTGGTGGCTCATGCCTGTACTCACGCCTGTAATCCTAGCTACTCAGGAGGCTGAGATCTGAGGATCACACTTCAAAGCCAGCCCTGGCAGGAATGTTCATGAAACTCTTATCTCCAATTAACCACCAGAAAACTGGAAGTTGCACTGTGGCTCAAGTGGTAGAGTGCTTGCCTTGAGCTAAAGAGCTCAGGGACAGCGCCCAGGCCCAGAGTTCAAGCCCCAGGACCAACAACAACAAAAAAAGTTTTATGCATTAGCTTTTGGGATTAGATGAAACATGTATACAAATGTGTATAAGATGGCAGGGTTGGAATTGGATGTTCATTTCTACTTTGAACTGTGTAGTTGTACAGATTGTGATGGCACACCTATAAGGATTCTGTGGACTTGGGACTTTGGAAAATTCCTGACAGCTTACTAGCAGATGGCAGTGCCATCCTTGTTAGAAGAAAAGTTTGTGTATTAAGCATTCCATGTTTTTACCAGATGAAAATCAGGTTTCTATCTGTACAAAGGCTAGCATTGTCCTGTTTCCATTGTCTCCCATTCTCTCCCTATATGATTAGATAGATAGGTAGACAGACAGACAGACATGCAGGTAGGTAGATAGAAGCTGGGGCTTGAACTGTGAGCATGAGTGCTGTTCCTGAGCTTTTTTGCTCAAGGATAGCACAGGACCACTTGACCCTCAGCCCCACTTCCGGCTTTTTCTACTTACTGGTGCTGAGGAATAGAACCGAGGGCCTCAAGATGCAAGGCAAGCACTCTACCACTGAGCCACCTTTCCAGCCCCGGAAGGAAGTTTCCACAGACTTTGTGGACCTGGATTTGAATGACAGTCCTCAGATCTCAGCCTCCAGAGTAGCTAGGATTATAGACATGAGCTACCAGTGCTTAGCTTGGGATGCTGCCTTAATTCTCTGAATTCTTAATTTCCCTACTCAGAGCTAAATATTTTTTCTCTGTAGCAAATTACAAACTGAATTTGTCTCTGGCTATAGCATTTGGGATCCTTATGGATCACAGTAGAAGAGTCTCTCCCCAGGTACCTCCAGAGGGGGACAAGACAGCAGTCCATCTCTGGGACAAGTTCCTGGAAGGGACTGAGTACTTCTGAGTTGGCAGTACTCTTGCCTCACCTGACAGTTGTCCTGGCTTCTCTAACGAGAGGAGGGAAAAGGCAACAGCAAGTGGTGTGTGGCTTCTGCATCCCACCCTGGGATTCAGAACCTCAGGGAGGCTATTGCTTCTGTGTTGTGAACTTAGAAAGAGGCCTAAGTCCCCTCATACACTTGTATGCCCATTGTGTTCTCTCCTCTTTGGGAGTTTGTCAGGACTTCACCCTCTCAGCTGGTCTTTAAGGGTGAGGTGTACCTCATTACCCCTGCTTAGTGTGTGTGAGGTTCTGGGTTTAATAGCCAACATCATAAAAATAAGTTTGTTAGTAAAGTTGTACATTTCTACCTAATGTAGTAGACTAATTTGTGTACATACTCCTTTCTTGCTCCACCTATATTTGGGTACTGACCAAAAGAATAAACTATGTGTGTAAGTGCATGTGCATGCTATGCTCATATACATACAAGGGCTTGGGGCTTGAACTTAGGGCATGGGTACTGTCCCTGAGCTTTCTTTTTGCTCAAGGGTAGCACACAGCTCCACTTGAGCTTTTTTTTTTTTTTTTTTTCGGTCGTGGGGCTTGAACTCTGGGCCTGGGCGCTGTCCCTCAGCTCTTCAGCTCAAGGTGAGTGCTCTACCACTTGAGCTACAGCGCCACTTCCGGTTTTCTGGTGGTTTATTGGAGATAGGAGTCTCATGGTCTCTCCTGCCCGGGCTGGCTTTGAACCGAGATCCTCAGATCTTAGCCTCCTGAATAGCTAGGATTACAGGTGTGAGCCACCAGCGCCCGGCCACTTGAGCTTTTTGATGTTTAATGGAAGGTGAGTCTCATGGGCTTTCCTACTCAGGCAAACTGCTATCCTCAAATCTCAGCCTCCTTTGTAGCTAGGATTACAAGTGTGAGTCACCTCCCTCCCCCCCCCAGCTCATAAGTTGTTTTTATTTTTTTTTGGGTCCGGTCGTGGGTCCTGAACTCTGGGCCTGGGCACTGTCCCTCAGCTCTTCAGCTCAAGACTAGCACTCTACCAGTTGAGCCACAGCGCCACTTCTGGCTTTTTTCTTTTTTCCGGCTTTTTTCTTTTTTGC